TAATTGGTGAGTTCGCTATTTTTTTTTCTCTTCTTATCAGTCTGCGACCGTGGAAGTTGTCAGCAACTTTTGCAGTTGTCGTTCAGAAGACGAGTCACTTATCTCGAGCTTATGAGTGCTTCAAATTGCTCGATAAGCTATTGCTATGTTTACAATAACAACCCAAAACAATATCCTGTTGATGAAGATGTGAAATTAATAAAACCTCTTCCTTGTAATATTCATTAAAGTATAGAAACAAATCTAAAGTGCCCGTTTTTTTTGCAATTAGTTATTACTCGTTATCATTATAATAAAATGAATTTTGATCAAGAAAGATATTCGTAATTTCAACATCTGAGCTAATTCAACTGGGTAAAGGGTATCTTTACAGAGTCTCATAAGAGTAATATTAAAATTAAAACTATTATTGTTACTTACCATGCACAAAGAAGGATATTGTATGTTTAAATCTAGTTATCATTTTAAACATTTGAACTGGTACTTCCAAATCAACATTTTTTTAAATATAAAACGCGATATCTCAATACACTGTTTTTGAAAATAAAACCCTAATATATTGTTTGTGACGTGCAATATGTATTTGCTACATCTTCAATTCTACATACTTAAGTTGTATGTCATAACAGCAGGCTTTGATACGCCATCCATTCATTAACTGTATTCTCAAGCTCTCAATAAATCTGTCAGATCTTCGTAAAAATAAACGCTCCATATTTTGCAACGGAGACTGTCTTACACAGGCGTACCTACATTCAAAATTTAACGTCACGTCGTCGCTGTATAGAATTTATTCGAGGCGTAAGCTCATAATCTATTTCAATATCCATTAAGCGTCCGTACGAGATGAAATCCCCATTACCGCACCGTCAAACCAATATTAGCCGATACAAGTTTCACGGGTGCCGCGATAAAAACAACTCACATTCGAGGAATCGAAGATTGAGATAAAGTTACGGATAGCGGGGAACTTTTTGCGGGCCGAGTTGGGACCAGATGCGGCGACTCGTCACGTAAGCCCTCAATTACGAAGCACCGAAGTGGTTCCCAGAGAGGTTTGATCCTGGACAAAATTCCCCAATTCCTACACTATTAACACGGTGTATGATTTAGGCCGAGGAGATAATATTTTCCATTGAAATGATATAGAAACCCCCATTAGTTAATAATTTTGAATGTTATTTTCTTAAATAGCAACTCCTACGTTCTAAACTATTAGGATTCTTACATATTTTAAAAAATCAACACGACCATGTTAACATACTTGATCTAACGGCAATGTAGATGAAATAGAATAACGTTTAATAAAATAAAAAGAAAAGGGCAAATCAACATACTGAAATAAAAAAAAATGACAAGAGAAAAGGACGAGTATAACTGAATGGAGAAATGGGCTGAGTTAGGTAAGCCTGCTAATTTTAGAGACTGCATCGTGGACCACTTTTGTTTAAAATGTATGTATGTCTGTCAAATAAAGGCGCTGATAAACTTGAGCATTCACTTGTAGTGAGCATTTTCCGAATATTGCATTACAGAAAAATAAACGAGAGAGAGTGTTTTAGCGAGCATTCTGTCGAGCGTTCTGGCGAGCATTCTAGTGAAAGGACAATAAATTTGCTTCGAGCTTTTTGCCGATTTGGTCATCTGATATTGTTCCGCTGTCCCTCCTCGTACCCCTGTCACCCCCTTTTTTAATATAACATATACCTAAGTATAAATGCAACACACGTGAGCGTCAAGTCTGACATCTTCGTGACGAGTATTTTTTACGAGCATAGACCAGAGCGATCGCTAGAAAGAACATAATTATGTTCGTAGCAATATTTGGCTCTGTCTGTTTGGCGCTCTTCAGTTCAAATAATTTAAAAACAACGAATGCTCAATGTTAAGTTACATGAGATTACAAGTATATTAGCACCTTAAGACAATAATTTTGAAAAAGCGAAATTTTGTAAAGTTACACTTACAAAGACTAATTAATAAATTTGAATTGTTAATTTACTCCCTTTCCGACAGTACTCCATAGTTCCCATGCATCGAATGCAACTAGATTCCATCAAAGTGGAAATACGTTAGAGTCAGAGAAAGATCCGCTGCTTTCCAGTAAAATAAGAAACGCGATTTCGCTTGACCTTTCAAAGTAACTCCCTTTTCCACCCTAATATCGTCATATCGGGAATAGCAAAATCTGTTTCCAAGGCCTACTCAAGGGATAAGTATCAACCATTACTACTTACTGTTACTTCAGTTTCAATAAAATGTAACGGATCAATTTTATTTGAAGAATATTCCGTATTCAGATTTTAGTATAGTACCGAATTTCGTGAACAATACATTTTTTAATAGCATTTGTATAGGGCGATCGCGAATTTATGACTGGCCAACCATCACAAAGGCTTTTATGCACAAATTGCATACCGCGAATAAATTGTATTATCCCGAATTCATCTATTTTCGTGAAAGCACGGGCACATTTAGAAATGCTGGTTGTGTCAAAAGTAGGAACTGACAGATTGATAATTAAAAAAAAGCCTCTTAACTTTCTTTTTAAAAATATATCTGAATATCTTTAAAAATGAAGATTAAGATTTCCGCCTAAACTCGAATCCACTCACTAAATCCTCTTTGTTGGTGTATTTTATTTCGTAGGTATAATTAAATTATTGTAATCCCCAGATAAATTAGGCCTGTGAAACATATTAAATCCGTATTATGTATATAAGAGATTTGTTTTACAAATAATTTGAAAACGATTATAATATTATAAATACTTTTTTTCCGACTAAGCATTATTGTTCTGCTTTTTTAGGTTTTAAGAAGTGAGGTATCGATATAATTGCGTAATTCCAAGTGATACTAACTAGACATAATTTTTTTGGGCAAAATTTGGGCGCCATTTAAAGAAATCATTTTTCAATAAATAATTACAAAATGAATATCAAATTAAAGACATCAATGTAGACATTCGTAAAGTATTTAGATTACAGAATTTTAAAAAATGCGTACCCGTAAGAACATTTATTGTTGGACTACAGACCTTAATATTTAACCCTAAAGAGAAATCTTCGATTAAAAATATTAACACGTAACGGTCCCTCTTTGCAATGACTTTTGCGAAGTAGTGCTTGACTTTCTTGTTCGTTTTTGGCCGTGTGGTCAGGTTTTTTTTTTGGAATGAAGTTCCTTTTCGCCGGAACAGCGGATGAGGGCTAGAAAAATGAAAATAAGATTTTTCATGGAATTTCCGCAAAAACCTTAGGGATTTCGAAAACACGGATAATGAGACAATAGCTATGACATTTCTCAATCTTACTGTTATTTTTTTCTGATGCTTCACCGGCCACTGCCGCGGTACGCTCGCTACGCACGCTCGGCTCGCCCGTCAACCAAGCGTGAACCCAAAACCCCAAGAATATTTATAATTCAGCCTGAAAACAGGCGGCTGACAATGAGGTTTGTATACTCGAGAAATGTGAATGCTGATTTATGATTAATAGTTTGGCAACCAAGATGCGATTAAACAAAAAGGGCAAATCGGAAAAAGATCGCTACGCTTGAAATCTTTGTTCTATGGTACAGATAACTAAAATTATGCAAACTGTCAAAATTATTTATTGTATTAACTTTTATCGTGCTTGTTAAAATCTTTGCATTTGGAATCAATTGAGAAACTAACTACTTTAGTATTTGTTGCTTACAATACATACTTAATTATAGTTGGACCAAAGAGATGTAGTTATTAATGTCTTTGGATTGGGCATAGGTAATAAACTCTCCCAATTTTTTCTACTCATATACGATTTTAGGGTTCCGTAGTTCCGTACTGATAAGAGGAACCCTTATAGTTTCGTCATGTCCTTCTGTCTGTCCGTCTCCGGTTTTAATTGCAGACTGTTAACACTAGAGAGCTGTAACTTTGTGGAGATATATCAATATACATATATGTATATCAATCATGCCGACAAAAAGGTAGAATAAAATTTTAAAAATATATTTGTTTTAGGGTAACTCACTCACCAACATGTAACCTGGAGATAATATTTATCTTTTCATTGTCTATGCCATCGTGTGGAGTATCATTGAGTAGGTCTTTTAAAATGACTTAGAGGATTTTAAGACTATTTTTCGACTAAGGGATCCGTTTGCGAAATATTGAACTTTAAAGTGCTAATTTTTGTTCGTGTAGTCTCCCCCCCCCCCCTCAAAAAGCTAAACTATTAACTTGAAAAACCTGGAATAATTCATGATTATACAGCATTTTCTGAACTTTTAAGGAAAATTGTAATGGTTAAAATAGATTTGTTAATTTAAAAATAATACTCGTTCAACTTTTTTATTATAATATTTCTGATCTAATAAAAATCCTTAGAAGAAAACATTAAAAGTGACTTAGACGAAGTAATTGCTAAAAACAAGCGTCAGCAACTGGCAGCCTGTGGATCATATCCTATTTTTTTCTAAGATTTTCAGGTCATATTGGTCCGAAAACACTGCTGGTGACAATGTATTCCACAGATTTGTCGTATGTGGTATATACGCCGTGTTTCATGGCGTCGCCTACTCAGAGGCTTTACATTATAATGTACAGTGTGATGAATATGAGCATTTGTACTCCAGTCATGGATTATTAATATGTATGTCTATATAAAATATACTTATATAATATGTACAATATATGTATTCTATCCGTTACCCTAGCATCCCATAACACAAGCCTTACAGTGTTTACTTTGGTGCTAGGCTAATTGGTGTGAGTGTTGGTAATATTTCTTTATTTTATTTATTATTTTTAGGTAATAGGCATGATTCTGAGATGATTTAATAAACTTAAACCTAAATTTGTTCTTTTTCAATCTAAAGTGCAAAGTGCTGCATAAATACTATTTTAAAATTAAGTTTTAGGTTTAGAGATCAGAATCAGACTCTTTTTAACTATTTTAGTTTCAAAGTATATGTATTTTGACCATTATAATCAAAGGTTTTAATTAAAATGCGTATACCTGTCATCGTAAACGAAGCCAGCGTCCAAGGTGTTATAGTACAGGAGGAAGGCTAGCACGGAGCTGGCCGCTGTCACCCAGTGGCCCATATTGTCCACTGATTTACATCGGGATTGGTTGTTCTCGCCCCCTAGAACAAAAAAATAACTGTTGAGTTGTCTGACGGAATGATGAATTTATCTGTGAAGTCAATGCAAGTTGCGGCGCAGTAAATGAAATATATGTGTAGATGCGTGTGGGGATTTCAGGGATCTGAAATTTGCGCATAGTTGTAGCTAACTTTACCATCGCTATAAAGTTTGAACCGCACTATGAAATTAACTTTATCATTTTGCTGTTTCTCCTTCATACTTAAATCGCTATATACATTTTCAGAAAATGTGACGTGTCAGTCTAACTTTATGCGAACGCGCTCGGGTCGCGCGTCTTCGGGCGTGCCGGGTGCCCTCTGGCACTTTCTAGGTTCCACCGGCTTAGAAGTGGCGCTGCCTTGCAGCCCAGGAGGTGCTGGGGGATTTTTCGGTAGCAAGACAGTTAGTGCTGCCCGCCTTATATGGTTTTTAACAGTTAATAATAATAGATTGTTTAACTAAGGGAGCAAAGAACTATTTTACCAGAACGGAGTGAAGGATCTAAAAGTATTCCGAGCGTAGCGAGGGATTCAAAGTACACCGCTCGAGCCTTATAATAGTGTTGCTCCCGAGGTGGGCACTTTAATTTTTATCACCTTCAAGGAGAAAATAACTAAATAATTACCTACAAAAATGTTATAAAAGAACGTTTATTTGTTTACATAAATTAACAACAAGACAATCTTGGGAATAGGTCAAAAACACATTTTCTGAAAAAGATTTCACCGTTCTTGTATTTTTACAAAGGATGAAATTTCATGATATACTTTTATATATTGTTCGCGGGATTTTGTAGGTAAAAGACTTTGTATCACAATTTTAGCGTACTGCATTCTTACTACTCGAGAAAGACACATTTTTTTTATAAAACCAAATAAATCCGAATTTTAGTAAACCGTGGCGCGCGCGCGGTGTACTTTTTTACTCGATCTTAAAATGTTCGTGATTGATCTCTTTGGTGATTATATATTTTTACTTTCAATATCCACATTCCTTATTCAAAACACTTTGACTCCCTAAGGATTAAAACTCTATTTTGGTCCCTGTAAACAGCTCTTTTCGCATAGATTGGATAAAAATATAATGAACTAAAGGCCTCTTTTTTTCCGAAAATAGAACTGGGAAGGGTTGAAATAAGGGATGCGAGTATTGAAAACCAATTCATATTCCACGCAGACGTATTCGCAGGTACACACAAGTGTGTCTATTAAATCGTCGCTTTACTTAAACTACAGAACATTTATAGTACTTTTGTGTCATCAAAGTACCTATTATGCAGAAGATAAAAGTCAACAATTCATGTCAATCATCGTACGATAGAATAGGTATGCGTCACCCTCCTCTTATTTAACAGAACATGCTATTCATTCTTTTGTTTTGCATAAACTGATTGAACGATACGCGGCAGTCGCCATAGGAGTATAGGACACATTTATATTATGTACACACATTTACAGCGTTACGGAGAAAGGGCTTTAATTTATCGGGCACAATGCTCGCATGAATGGTTCGATGCGATACGATCTTCTGTTGGGTATTCTTTTTACGAATCCACTCTTGTCATTCTTAGTATTCTATTTTCCAAAATCAATTGTTCGATCTATGATTCATGCCTCATGTTCATGCCCAACTCCAAAACGAGTGGTTAATATTATTACTCTCTATTTTGGTTACTTACTTAAGATGATGCAAACTGAGATTGAAAAATTATAATTTCATGTTTCTTGTCTTATTTACCGAATAAAACGTTAATTTTAATACAAGATTTTATTTAACTTGCACTGTTGGTATGTAAGTTGTCCCCTTAAAAATTGTATTAAAATTTTTGACCACTTCTTGTTATCCGATTCTTGCTGAAATTTGGCATACATAATAAAAGTGTGATGACAATGCAATAATATGGTACTATGTAGCTGATCTGATGATGGAGATAACTAACTTTAATGAAATGGGGCCATAGGAACTGTGTAACAAAACAATGTAATCCCATCAAAGGGCTCGCTTGATTTGACTTGACAAGTACATTTTCTTTAGATTTAATCTAGGGTCTAATGATGGAGCAGGAAGGCTATAGAAAAGGTAAAAATTACTTAAGTCTGAAAAGAAATTTACCATGCTGTAGGCAAGATCGAACCAACTTATTCCTGACCCACTTGCCCGATAATTCGCTTTAAAAGTACAAAAAAGACAGGTTTTCGTTTGTAAAGAATGCTTAATTTCACTTAGCAACTTCTAATAATAAGGAAAGTGTGTAAATATGAATGAAATATATTTGAAATTTGACCTTTATTTTCAATGCAATAGATAATGTTATAGATTAAATTGGAATAGTAATTTGAATTTCAAAATCACTTTAAATCGTAAATGTAACGGAAAATGAATATATGCCCAAAAACTAAACAATAAACACAAATCAATGTAGCTTTTAAAAGAATAAAAACACTGTGCAGCTGTTACGAAATATTACCGATGAAATTAATGATCATATAAATAATAAATTACACACCCTAGTAATTTTTATTGTTTTTTTTTCTAAATGGCTTCGCACGGCTTGTGCATTTAGCCAATGTCAAGTGTTAAATGTAGGTATACAAATACTATAGCACTTGTGGTCAAAGTAATAAGTCAAGTCAAAGTAAGTGGCAGTCTAGTCAATCCCCCTTTCCCCATGTTTCAGTAAAAGTGTGGGGATTTACTGGAATCTCCCCGTGGACTTCTTGAGGGAACGTCGAAAGACACTTTCTGCTATTTTGTTTCATTTGCCAACACTTGTGCATGTTCGCGAACACTTAGTGGTTAATAATCCACCATTATTAGACACTAACATCCGCCATAATACAATTTTTAACAAGAAAAACAAAACTGCTAAAGTGTGCTGCAAAAAGAGCTTTAATTGATTTAAGACTGACTTTTGACATGTTACAATAAAGAACAATTTACAAAAACTACCCTACGAATCGCCACTTTGTATTTAAATATCTAATCAGTACAGTAACATTACTCCAACAAAGAGAGGCACGGTTCAAGGCTCTATCTTTGGCCCCATGGAATATCTACTTTATGTCACCGATATGTGTTCACTTATTAAAGAGGGATCGGTGTACCAATTCGCAGATGTCAGCTGCCTGGTAGTAGCCGCCAAAAGCATAAGGGAAGCTAAACAAATAATGCAAAATAATGTTGATATTGTATATAAATGGGCTCACGGGCTTGTTTTGGTGGTGAACGCTCAAAACACTAAGTTATTGCATATTCACACCTCTCACAATAAAGTCAACACCACCACACCGACCGTGGTACCACCCACCATACTCATAATTTAATGCATAATCCGACCGATTACGTAAAAGAACATTATGTATGTGGGCCTATTGATTGACGAGAGATTTTGCTGGGGACCTCACAAATATTACGTATGCGCCAAATTAAGATCTATCGCGAGTACACTATCTATATTAAAAAAATAAACTACCTCACAGAACCCTTACATTCATATATTTGTCCCTAGCTGAATCTATTGTTATTTATGGCTTAAGTAGTTATGGAAGAACATAAAAGACATACATAGAGGATATTTATTAATTGAATATAAAATTTTAAGGGTAATTGTACCCAAATATATAAAAGTTAAATTTAAAGGTAACGCACAAGAACTATTTTGATATTGTATTGTGATGAATGTTTATGATAAAATAAAATAAGCAATTTTAACCTAACGTAACGAGACTAAATACTTGAATAGACTAGATAATCTTAGAAATGTATTGGATCGTAGAAAATATTTATTGCCGAAATGTAATAATGTCTACGGTAATAGAAAACTATGTTATTTAATACTTGCCTTTTTATCTCAATGAATTGCCCAGGAAATGTACTCGAACTCTCTAATTAATAAATATAAATTTAAAAGATTTGACTTACAAAATAGTCAACTTGAAAGTGTAGAAATGTTAAACGACTGGCTCTCATACACACATAAACCTTGACAGGTCACAGGTTTATGTGTGTATAAGACAACTAACAAGATTGTTAGTGTGTATTGTCGCATTTGAAGAATACATTTTTGTAAGTTTTTTTATAATACATACGACCTGACAAAATAATAATAATAATAAAATAAATGTTTTCAACACTTACACCAATTAGCCTAGCCCCAAAGTAAGCACTGTAACGCTTGTGTTAAGGGGATGCTAGGGTAACGGATAGAATACATATACTGTACATATATAAGTATATTTAAATAAAAATACATGTTGAACATTCGAACATAGGGATTCGAACTCGACCTCTCGAGTCGGTGACACCATGAAACCAGGCGTACAAACCGCTCGGCCAAGGAGATCGTCGGTGGTCGGATGCTTAATACAAGAATACTAGCTGTCCCAGCGAACTTCGTACCACCATAAAAAATAGGGGTTGGTGGTAGAACGGTGAACATTTAGGGTTGTATGTATTTTTGTATGATGTATCACAAAAATATAAACAAAAAAAATTGTTCATAAAAACAATTTTAAGGATATACCACTATAAACATCTAGGGGGATGAAAAATAGATGTTGTCCGGTTCTCAGACCTATTGAATATGCATATAAAATTTCACAAAATTCGATTGAGCTGTTTCGGAGTACTTCAATTGCGCACACCGTGACACGAGAATTTTATATATTAGGTAACTGCCTTATAATAAATAATTTTGATTAAATAAAACTAGTTTTAACGGGTTAATGCACGAACTTTATTTATTTATTGACGTTTCGCAGCCTTTTCAGGTCTGCATCGTCAGAATAAAACATCATCAAAATCATTTATTAGTGTGTGAGTATTAACCCGTTAAAACTGGTTTTATTTAATGAGTGATGTGCGTGAAAACCTAAGAAACAAATAAATACTACCTGCTTAAAAAAATCAACACCCTAGAATTTTAATCATAGAGAAACTCTGTATCCGCCACCGCAGGGCGGCTTTAATTGGCTGATGATAAAACCGGCTACCAATTAAT